CGAGTCCGAGGCCAGGAGATTCTTTCAGCAGATTGTTTCTGCTGTCGAGCACTGCCACCAGCACCTCGTAAACCCTAAACCCTAGTCCATTGCTGCTTCTGCACCCATGTAGGCCCTCTTCGCCGTCGCAGGCTCTAGCGTTTAGGGTTTAGGGTTTAGGGTTTAGGGTTTAGGGTTTAGGGTTTAGGGTTTAGGGTTTGGGGCGCCTTGCAGATATGCCACCGGGACTTGAAGCCTGAGAACGTCTTGCTGGACGAAAATCTGAATGTCAAAGTGGGCGACTTCGGCCTTTCAAACTTCATGCGGTAAACCCTAAACCCTAAACCCTAAACCCTAAACCCTAATCCCTGACAGGCGAGTTGTCGCGGATGCCTCGGGTGCCTGCCTTTTGCTGCGCAAAGACCTGCGCATTATCTCTGGGAGCACACGATTTAGGGTTTAGGGTTTGTGATTTAGGGTTTAGGGTTTAGGGCTTAGGATTTAGGGTTTAGGGTTTAGGGTTTGTGATGCAGTGATGGGGAGTTCTTGAAGACTTCTTGCGGCTCTCCGAATTATGCCTCTCCAGAAGTTGTTTCAGGCCGGGCCTACGCGGGCCCAGAGGTGACTAAACCCTTTACCCTAAACCCTAAACCCTAAACCCTAAAATTCATTCTTCAGGTGTTTCAAGCCCTAATCGCTTAGGAGCGGCTGCGGCGGGCTACGGCTTCTTGCAGACTTAGAATGGGGGCAGCCGCTGGCCTTCGCTGCTTAGGGTTTAGGGTTTAGGGTTTAGGGTTTAGGGTTTAGGGTTTAGGGTTTTGCAGGTGGACGTGTGGTCCTTCGGCGTGATTCTCTACGCGCTGCTTTGCGGGTCTCTTCCTTTCGACGACGAGCACGTGCCGAATTTGTTCAAGAAGATCAAACATGGTAAACCCTAAACCCTAAACCCTAAACCCTAAACCCTCGGGGGCACTCGCTAGGGTTTGCTAGGGTTTGCGAGGGTTTAGGAGGCCCGAGGTTTCTGCTGGAGGCTGCTAGGGTTTGCTGCTGCAGCTCTTTTTCTTTACCACTCTCAATTAGGGTTTGGCGAGCTGATTAGGGTTTTGGCGAACTAATTAGGGTTTTGGCGAGCTTATTAGGGTTTGGCGGATTAATTAGGGTTTTGGCTTCTCGTTAGGCTTTGGAGTGTGGCCTAGGGTTTGGCTGATCGTCGAGGGTTTTGGCGGTGGTTTAGGGTTTGTCCTGCGCGCTAGCGTTATGGCCTAGGGTTTAGCGGATTGTCTAGGGTTTTGCGAGCGGTTTAGGGTTTGGCTTAGCTCCTAGGGTTTGCTGAGGGTTTGCTGGTTGTCTAGGGTTTGCTGTTTGCTAGGGTTTAGAGTACAGTCTAGGGTTTGTGTTTGTTGAGGGTTTACGCGTTTCGAGGGTTTGTTGCACGGGGCTTTGCCCACCTCTGAACCCACCTCTCTAATTCGCTGATTTAGGGTTTACTGCATGCCCGCCCTCCCTCACGTCTCACAGCGAGTTTCCCTCCCCCCCGTATTCGCTGATTTAGGGTTTGGGGCTCGCACTGCTGCATGCCCACCCGCCCCTGTGTCTCCCAGCGTGGTTCCCTCCCCACTTTATACGCTGATTTAGGGTTTAGGGTTTGGCGCAGCGCAGCCTGAACCGCCGAACCTTGGACTGCGGGTTTGGGGTTTAGCGCGGGGCCCGGCGCAGCCCTGGCACCGGCGCGCGCGCTTTATACGCTGATTTAGGGTTTAGGGTTTGCGGCGCAGGCAGCTTCACACTGCCCGGGCACTTGAGCGGCTGGAGCCTTGCACTTATACGCTGATTTAGGGTTTAGGGTTTGCGCGCAGGCAGCTTCACACTGCCCGGGCACTTGAGCGGCTGGAGCCGCGCAGTGTATACGCTGATTTAGGGTTTAGGGTTTGCACGCAGGCAGCTTCACACTCCCACCACTTGAGCGGCTGGAGCCGCGCACTGTATACGCTGATTTAGGGTTTAGGGTTTGCGCGCAGGGAGCTTCACCCTCCCCGGCCACTTAATCGGCTGGAGCCTTGCACTGTATACGCTGATTTAGGGTTTAGGGTTTAGGGTTTGCGCGCAGGGAGCTTCACGCTCCCCGGCCACTTGAGCGGCTGGAGCCTTGCACTTATACGCTGATTTAGGGTTTAGGGTTTAGGGTTTGCGCGCAGGGAGCTTCACCCTCCCCGGCCACTTGAGCGGCTGGAGCCTTGCACTTATACGCTGATTTAGGGTTTAGGGTTTAGGGTTTGCGCGCAGGGAGCTTCACCCTCCCCGGCCACTTAATCGGCTGGAGCCTTGCACTGTATACGCTGATTTAGGGTTTAGGGTTTAGGGTTTGCGCGCAGGGAGTTTCACTCTCCCCGGCCACTTGAGCGGCTGGAGCCGCGACTTGCTGCTGCAAATGCTGGCCGTAGACCCCAGCCGCCGCATTCGCCTGGGGGCCATCAAAAGCCACCCGTGGTTTCAGGAGCTGCCGCAGTATTTGCTGCTGCTGCGGCCTGCTGCAGCAGCAGCAGCAGCACCGGATGCCCTCGTCATCAACCAAATGGCCAAGGTCCCAAACCCTAAACCCCAAACCCTAAACCCTCCAAACCCTCCAAACCCTTTTAAACCCTTTTAAACCCTTCGGACCCTTGAAAACGCTCCTAAACCCTTCTTAAAACACTCATACACCCTTCTAAACCCTCATAAACCCTCGTAAACCCTCGTAAACCCTTCTAAACCCTCGTAAACCCTCATTTGCACTCATAAACCCTCATTAACATCGGCAAACCCTAGAAACCCTTCCAAACCCTGACAGACGCGAAATGTGCGGGCGCGGAAACCCTGGGAGGGTGCCCGCAGGGTTTAGGGTTTAGGGTTTAGGGTTTAGGGTTT